AGATTCATATGTTTGCTAGCTAAACTGCTGCAGTGCTGCTACAGGTGTGCCCCAAATCAGCCGTGTAACCAGGATATCCACTACCGTTGGTTCACAAAGCATCCATACCAGCTAGATCATTCAATTTGGTTTCAAATAAAACATTTACAGGCGAGTCAGCAAGTAAATAATATAGGAAGACCCCCCCCCCTCCATAAAATTTCAAATAAGTTCCCTATATAGCTGGTAAATATAGGTTTGATTTATTTTTATAAATTAGTACAGACCCCATGCACGGTCAGTACATTAAATGAAAGGATTTTCAATTTACGTCCCTTTTCGGAAATTAAGCATTGTCAGGCTATAATAATAATAATAATAATAATAATAATAATAATAATAAATTATTTTAAAAAGTTTCTAATAGACAGCATAATGTAGGACATTGTTTGGAGTTACTAGCTCATGTTGTACATTGTACGTTTCTGCGGTCTTTATCTTTAAATATTAATTTGCTTTAATTAACCCCATGTAAAATTTTCTCCAACATATTTTTATATAAAAATTCTATTAATTTTCGGTCTTGTTTGACATCTGTAGTTGAAAGATAATCGTTTTCTTTTGATATTTAGGAAAGGCATTTTTGCACATGGTGGCAGTATTTCATTCTTGACATCTCTTTCCTGTCTGACGATAGCAATGTTATTAACTCAATCTTGTTATCAAATTTATGGTTACATCCTAGGATTGCGTTCTTTGAATTTGCTATGCTTCGCTCTACCTAATTTCAGTGTGGTAAATTAATGTCTTACAGATTCCCTATGTTCATGACATTTTCTATCCTTAATTTTAATTGGCCGGTCAGTATGAAAGTAGGCAGAGTTGTCAAAGAACAGATTTGTGAGTTTGTAAGGAAGGCAATCTAGGAACATTCTTGTGTTATTCAGTTTTGTAGTCTATCTACGAAATTTGTTCCAAATTATATTTGTGAAATTTAGATTTTTGGACTTACAATAAATTCTAAACTTTAGAACCGACTTTTCAATTGACACAATATTACATGATGAACTTAGTATAATCTAGGAATTTTACATTCACTTCAAAACGCTTAGGAACATAATAATTTAACCTTCACTGTGTACAACTTCTTTATACTTTCTGGAATAGAAGTATGGTAGATTCCTCCATGAAAAGGGCATACTTCATGGAATTAATGGATACACTCTTTTGGGTCAGACAGTTCCAAGAGAAAGGGCTGTTATGCAAATATTTTGGGGTTGTTTATATTTGTTGAATTTCTGATACAAATCTTTAAAATATTACAATTTGGAAGATACTCTTAATGGTTTACAAAAAAAAAAATAAATAAATAAATAAATGAATAAATAAATAAAATAAACACTCACTTATATAAAGTTAAATAATTCAAGGTTGTAGTAAGTAGAATGATATCTGACCTAGTGTCCTACACATGAGCACTCTCAACATGATTCTTCTTCAATCATGTATTTTTCATAATTCTCTCAATATCAATTTATCATACATGTTTTGTGGAACTTAAGTATGTACAGTAATTTAATTGTACCTTGATCTCAAAAGGAGAGAACTAATACAGGCCCTTGGCCTGCTGTTCAATCCATATTCATATTGTACACTTTGTATATTATGAATAAAATACTTCTTATACTAAAAGCATTCTCACTCATCACTAGGTTGAATTTGTCAAAATTTAAGTTTGTTGACATAATAGATCTCAACCATTAATCCTGATAATAATTGAAACTACTAAATTAACAAAGTGCTACACACCATTTAGATAATTCATTAAGATATGTTTCACATTGTCATTGTCAGGGACAGATCTGGAAATATGCATGCTCTCGATAGATAGCCCCCGGCCGCTAGCATAATATAATAATTTTTCAAAGCAGGGAAATCTGTAAGTCTGGATCTTTTGCAAATGTGTATATGGTAAGCTACTCATGAGACACAGACAAACAGTTCAGAAATCTCTATTAGGATTTTGAAGGACAACAGTTCAAATGCATTGCATATATATATTTGCTTAAAATCACTTAAACTTAATAAGTTCACATAATCTGTAATGCACAAGAATGAAGATCAAATATTGGTCAATGGTAATTATTGTTTTGTTCTTCTTAAAAAAAATAAATAAATAAATAAAAAATAATAATAATATATATAATAAAAATCTAGCATTTAATAGCTGTTTTTGTTCTACTCCCATTAGTCCGATTCTAGAATGTAGTTTAATTGCGAGTCAGTGTTTAACTGCAGTTCTGTTCTATTCATGATAAATAGTTAGATACTAGGATGTATTTAAATACAGGTCAGTGATTTAACTGCTGTTTTGTTCTACTCGTGAAAATTAGTTAGATATTAGGATGTAATTTAAATGCAGGTCAGTGATTTAACTGCTGTTTTGTTATACTCGCGATAAATATTTTGATACTCACTAAAGATGTAATGTAAATACAGGTCAGTTATTTAACTGCTGTTTTTCTACTCTTACAATTAAAAATACCTTAAGGAACATGTTCATTCCCACATTGACAGGTCAGTGAATAACTGCTGTTGGATATCTAAATACTCCTCATCTGACTTCGTTACTTGCTGGCTCAATAAACAAAACTTTTCGATTTGTCATTTAATTACTCTGAAATTAGTTTTCTTCCATACTTACATGTATTACTCAATATCGTTATTTATTAACATTGCTCGGATATTATGTTAATACAGGTATTTCCTTCATTATATGACATGTAACTACATTTTCGTGATAACTGGTAACGGAATAATTAATGAAAGGTAGATTTTTATTTTTCATTTCATTACTTTAAGTTGAAATGTGTGGAGAGGCCAGTGATTAACTGCCTTCATATAGATTTGATGTGTGCAAGCTCACCTTGGATGGCACGGATGTGATTTACATGTCACATCTTACATGGATGTGACCTGCATATCACATCTTATGGCCTATTTTGTTTTGATGTGCCATCTATTTGCTAACTTTTTAATATGATGTTTTGATTGTCTTGTCTTACAGATACTTTTTTCTAGTCATTTTTGGGGGATCAGACATTATCATATTTTACGTAACTGATAAGCAAAGCTTGTGAATCTGATCCCCCTTCTTGTTTGTTAAATTGTTCACATTTATATCGTCATTTTAATAAATGACATTATTCATCAACATGAAAGTGTTTTATTTGACTTTTACAAAATTAGCAAAAACAAGCTGCGGTGATCTTGGCTATAAGCATTAGAAGACATAAAACAACAATTATTAGAATAATAATTGTATTTATGTAAATGCGATAAAGGTTTCCGGAAACATTTACGTTGGTAAATCTATCCACGCCTTGCCTGAGGGATTAATTGTAATAGAATTGTAAGGTCACGTTTATCAGCGAGTCATTCACACTCGCGCGCTCACCAATGCTAACATGAAGCACGTCTATTTTGAAGACCCACCTCCACCCCAGCATTCCTATCCCTTAAGGTAGGACTAAACACCCGTGGATTCTATTTTTACCAGTTTCTTAAAAATGTAATGGAGGAAAAAAGAATAATATTACATGACAACAACAATTATTGAAAGAAAAATAATAAGTTTTGGCATATTTGACTTATATTTTGTGAAAAAATCAGAGAATCCTATATATTTGTCACTTGGGAGCTTACCTTTTGGAATGTGTTTACGCTATCTAAGTGCAATAAACAAGCATGTAATAGTCTGTTATAAAATGCAGTACAACTTTTGTTTCATAAATAGTAGAGAAGTGATATTTGGACACATATATAAGGAGTCTATATTCTTTATGTACTACAAAGGTCAAGGTCATTTCAAGAGGTCAAAGTTCAAATTTTGTGACGTCATCTACTGAATCTTTTAGCTTTTTGTCATTGAATTTTTTTTAATAGCCAAAATATCTGAAACCGCCGGTTCAATTTTCTTTATATCTACACATTTTATTCTAGTACCCATTTGAATCAATTTGTTAATTTTTTGTAAAAATTGAATTATACATTTTCTCTTAAGAGGACTTAAACTATCGGATATTTGCATGTGAATTTTCAGTTTTTGACACAATGTATGTTCTATTTTACTTAACATTTTACCGAAATTTTCCAGTATCAATGTGACATACAGATTTAAAGTAACAAAAAGGTTATATTCATTCAAAGTATTACACAAATTTGCAATAGATCAATAGAAAATTCTAAAATAAGGCTCATTCTCAAGTCGAATGTTTGATTTCACAACTTTCTTACAGGGGTCTGACAAACCATATTTCAGACTATGTGGGCAAAAAATGTGCGGTTGAATTTCTTTCATATTATATATAAAGAGAGATTTTGTATCCAAGAACAAAATATCAAAGTTTCAGAAATATTGAATTTGAGGAAAAAATTGACCTATCTATTTGGTCCTACCTTAATATGATCATTAATGTCTTGTAAAATTTATATTATATTATAGTTTTTACTCAATTGTTTTACTGCTTCTATGTATTTGGTTTTGATTACGATCTTTTTGCAAGCTTTTTCTTCTGAAGTTTTGATTGTGTCTTTGATGTACCATCTTTTTGCCAACTTTTTCTTGTGATGTTTGCCTATTTTGTTTTGATGTGCCATCTATTTGCTAACTTTTTAATATGATGTTTTGATTGTCTTGTCTTACAGATACTTTTTTCTAGTCATTTTTGGGGGATCAGACATTATCATATTTTACGTAACTGATAAGCAAAGCTTGTGAATCTGATCCCCCTTCTTGTTTGTTAAATTGTTCACATTTATATCGTCATTTTAATAAATGACATTATTCATCAACATGAAAGTGTTTTATTTGACTTTTACAAAATTAGCAAAAACAAGCTGCGGTGATCTTGCCTATAAGCATTAGAAGACATAAAATATATCTCGACAAGTCAGATTCAACCAATTTACATGAAAGAATAATATTAGATTTTACGTAATCAAAGCAAACGTCAACTCACCGCAACTTCACTACATGATCCCGTGCCCTCAGTAAAAGCACTGCAGGGATTGAAGGAGTACAACTCGTTACTGGAACCGGGACTTGACACGTCCTGAAAACTTAAAATATTTGAGAGATATAATTGGGAAACGGTGCCAGCATTTGAAGGCATGGCCACAATCTTCACCATTCTATATCAACGGGTACATGTATCTGAAAACATATCTATGAAAGTTGGGGCTGGAGTGCAAAAACTAAGAATTTTCTTCCTTTTGCAGGTCTGAAAGTCACTATAAATTTAATGATTTAAACAGAAAAGGATGGTTGCAATCAATAGTGAGTCTAACTTTGTATGTAGATGATACATGTATGTACAATGTATGTAATTCTTTGAATTTATATTTTATTGAAAGTAGAAATATTAATTTAATGTCTACATTCAAAAACAGTCCAAGCAACATACAATTTACATGTATTGCTCATACCGAAGAATAGCAATTTCTCGAAGTTACTAAGTAATACAAAATAGATTTATAGACGATTTCAACAATTTCATGTTTTTAAACGTCAAGGATTTATTTTAAGTTATGACCGTGAATTTTGGTCAGGATACAAACATACAGTATATGTAGAAGACCTACTCCAGTAAATCCGTATATACTTAGTCTAGTACATATAAACATTATAAACTAAAGATATTGTGATTGCAATGAGCTCATTAAATGATACCTGCGCCTCCCATATGATTAAGGTAGTCCGATCCTCAGGTTTATAAAATTAGCAGTTAAGTAATCAAAAATACTCATAAAAATGTCTCTGAATCCACAAAGTTATATAAATTTAATTTAATTTATCCACAGTATTTCATTAAAGTTAAAGATTAAAGTTAATTAATCATATTATATAGGAAAATTGTCAAATTTCAAATATTTTTGCAGAAAAAGCGAATTGGAATATCAGCAATGCATTATCTAATTGAAAATTGATCAACAAATATATTTTAGGTTAAAAGCGATAGGTATCCAGGCATTCAGAGAAATTGTCATGATTTTTATACTTATTTGGTACTTTTTGTCTTCTATTTCCGTCATGTATTCTATAATACATAGTGTAAAAGGCTTTTGTTATTATTGCAAGACACCACTTCTTATTTCATATCATGCTAATAATCATTGGTATCAAAGACTGGATTCAAGAAAATCTTATTTCTCTAAAACTGTATTAATTCTTTTTCCTTTTATAGGGTACAAATGTCAACTTTTATAAGACCTTTTCTAAGACTCCCAAAAACCTTGAATCTTATAAAGATGAATAAAATGAAAATTGTTGCATGAAAAAAATTCATTTTCAAGCTTTATTTTGATGCATTTCAAATTAAATACTGAGTATTAATTTTTTAAGTTATCCTTCCTGGCTGAGGATCGGATATCCTTAAACTATATTTTGTTATATGTTATGCCATTTTTTTGCCTTGGGAGACCCGAAAAAAAATCAGATCAAAAATTAAAATAGGCGGTGCACAATGGCACTATATGTAACAAAGATTCTGTCAAACTTAAATTTCATTCAGTGGTATAAAGAGGAGTTGTGGATAAACGATAAGTACATGTGCCCCCTAAGCGTAACAGACGGACGGACAGACGGCTTTCAGATCTAGACAGACGGACGGACACCTGATCACTATATACCCTCCCACTTTTCAAGCGGGGGTATAATAAATATGTACCTACTAGGGCGTCTGATCATTTCTGGAGACAGAAGATAGATCCACCACAAATCCGTCGTCCATCTTGCAAGAACACGGACTCACTTTTTTACAAGATTTTCCTATAACACCATTTAGAATTAATTCAATTGAAATAAAAAGACTGAAGATAGTCCTTCTCCAATAGTCCGCCATGATTAAAGTGATAGCATTAACGTGTTCACGGTCTGATAAAACTGAGATGCTTGTTTTATCCGTAATCAGGGTAAACTAATAAGTACTGATAAAGTGAAGTTGAGTGTACACGTGTACATGCATTTACTTTAAAAGAGCGATACTTAAAAAGACTGTAGTTTCTTTGTATTTCATGCATTTAAATGCGTTTTATTTAAATTTCCATTAGCCGCAGATCTGTAGCGTTATGGTTTTGTATATTTGTCATTGACCATAACGTTACAGATCCCGTAATGCAAAAAAGGTGCAATTTACGGCTCAATATTTTTTGCGCACTTTTGGGGAGAATTTCTCCATTTTATAGTCGTCTCTACAAGTGATAAACTCACGTGATTGAAATTATTTGTTAGATAGCTTAAATTCACTTCAAGCGAGTTTATTACCTGTAGAGACAACTACAAATGGTTGGGAGGTGGATAAAATATACATATTGGCTACATAATGTGTCTAGAATTAAGTGTGAAAGGTATTTGATTGATCAATGCTAAAAAGTGGAGAAATTCTCCCCAAAAGTGCGCAAAAAATATTGCGCCGTAAATTGCACCTTTTTGCATTACGGGATCTGTAGCGTTATGGTCAGACTAACATATAAAACCATAACTCTAAAGATCTGCAGCTAAATTTCCATTTATTAAAATTTATCTCATAAGAAATATTGTAAATTTCTGTACGATTGGTATATTTTCTCTCTCTCTCTCTCTCTCATGATATCTTCAAAATTTACCTCGTTCCAAACAAATAAAGATATATTAAATGAAAATGGTTCACTGCATGAAAAGTCGGGTTTAATTTTACCTTAAATGTGATTTAAATGCTGCGATTATTTAATGTTTAAATGCATATTATAACATATTGTGGGATCGTAAATGTTAGAAAATAATTAGCATTTAATACGAGTTTAATGAAAAATTAAAAGAACAAATTTAATAAAGTTTGGAAAATTGTAAACTTACTAATACGTACGGATTTTAGTCTGCCGTAAACAATTATTATACCTCTAATATACAAAACGTATAATTATTATTAAACATGGCCATAGAATTAAAATTTACGGTCACATTAAATTTGTTCGTTTAATAAAATTTAACGTAGATCTTTACCTCATTATTTTTTGTTAAATTCACACTTTACTTTATAATACTTCCAAAAATAAAGTTATATACGGAGAATTGTAAACTTACTAATACGTGCAAATTTTATTCTTTCATAAACTAATATTAAATCTCTTGTATATGTGATGAAAATGTACGGATTAAACCTTCCCATATAATTAAGATTTAAGGTTGTATTTGATGAAATTTAACATTATTATATTATTGCATAATATTTTTATTTTACATTTATTCCATCAATAATTTGTATGGTTTACAATTGTGGGTTTTTTGGCAAGTATTTTACAATCTTACACAAATCCATTTCTCATTCAATTTTATTAGATGTTATCTCAATAGTGTACAAACAATGAGTTCTAACAAAGTACAAAATATTTCAAATCTAAGCCTAAAAGTCAGAATTAAAAAATTTACAATCATGATTGTAGCTCAATTATAATGGAGTAAATTTCTACATACTAGTAGTAAGTAATATACTGAAGTAATTATAAATAATATAAGAATAGTATTGTATGTAAAATTCAAATCCGCAATAAATTAAAACACAACAGGTAAAAAATGTAGTCATTCTGGACTCCAAAAGACTGCAAAATCTGACTGAAACTGTCCCTATTAAAACTTCTGCATGGGTTGTAAATGGCTTTTCAATTTCCCACAATAAATTATATCATACTATGCATAAAAAGAGTAAAAGTTGCCAATAAAAGTTGTCCATTCTTTTTACATGTACATTTTAATAAGACACACTAAGCCACTAACAGAGAAGCCTCACTCGCCCACAAGCAACAGCAAAAGGATCGGTCAGAGACACCACCTTTCTCTTGCTTGGGTATCAAGATCTGCAACTTACTGCCAGCAAAGCTCTTTTAGACCACCCTTATATTGTTTCCCAAGTATTTCAACAATAGATTCCATGCACTTATTATCCAAGTTCAACTTGAAAAATGCTTAATGTTGACTGTGAAAAATACAAGACCCAAAAAAATCCTTTATATCATTTGGTTATGTCAATTCAAAATAAGGAAAAAGTATCACAATTACACAAAACAATAGCAGCTTAAATTTGTTTACAATACATGTAGCTCATTTCTGTTCCAACTGCTAGGTTTATTGCTTGATGATTGTAATATAACATATCCTCATTAAATCAACGTTACATTGGAATGCAAAACATTTCAATAGTGATATTTTCAACTTTGCTTTAAAATATCAAAAATGAGCTCTGAAACATGCACATATACAAGTCATGTATAAACATATGTAAAAGTATATTTAACAATTTTTAAGCCATAATTACAATTCCATTACTCATAATTCATAAATTCTCTTACCTCAAATGGAAGGAAACAAAGTAATATTTTACTCTTGCAATTCTCATTTATTTACCCTTGCAATATCAATTGTAATATTTATTAAAATCACAATTCAACCCTTTTTTACTCATAAATGTCTCTACCTCATTTGCCTATTCTATTTTTTACATCTATGACTCACTAAGCCACTGACAGAGAAGCCTCACTCGCCCACAAGCAACAGCAAAAGGATCGGTCAGAGACGCCACCTTTCTCTTACTTGGGTATCAAGATCTGCAACTTACTGCCAGCAAAGCTCTTTCAGACTACCCTTGATCATGATTGTCTTATTTTTTCCACAAAAATGTCCATGCACTTATTATTTAAGTTAGACTTGTACATATATGTGATATATAAATCAAGATTAAAATGTATGTGATTGCAGACCAATAAATGTTTAAACAATAAAATACATAACAGTTTTAATCTGAAATCAAGCATAAGAAAAAACTTTCACTGTCAAAAATACAACACTAGGTATATTTTTCTTATCTAAAATTTAATTTGTGCAAAACAGTAGCAACTCAGATATTTCATCTCTAATAGCCCATCTCTGTTCAATTAATACATCCATAGGTTTGACTCTTTTAGATTCTTTATTTGTCCTAGTTCTTCTTATGCTCTGCCTTTTAGAGTGCTTTGATTTGAGAATGGCACTTTTGGTGTCCTGTTCTTTGAAGACATTCTCACATTCATCAGAACGCAACTTCAGCTCTCTAATTTCATAGATAGTATTATCTTTAGAATCATTTTTTGTACTATGAAAATGTAATCAATATTTAAAACTGCTTTTTCTTGCTTCTTCTTCTCTTCATGCCAAGAAGTTTTCAGCTCTGGAGAAGCACCCCTAGCTCCTAATTTCTACAATAAACATAAAAATAAATACCCATTTGCCTATATATACATATTATATGTGTGCTTCTGGATTTATGCAATTGCATATATTAAATAGTAAAAACAAAATCTGAGTTGATTTTAAAATTATCATTTGACCTAGAGGAAACACAGCTCAATTTTGCTTAATTAAAAATTTACAGAAGACTACAAAAGATATGCCATTTTTTCAAATCTGGGTAATAAAGACAGATAATTATCTATAATTTCAGGCCAGCGAGCTACAGATTTCGAAGCGTGTAAATTTGGGTCTAATGATTTTTTTTCACCATCTTTTTGTTTGGAGCATTTTACCTGCTTGACCTTGAACATGTTGAGGTGCCCTTTTCTCTGCTCCTCCACACTAATTCTTTCATTTAGCAGCAAGATACTATGGATATGGTAAAAAGCTGTCATAAACAAAATATGAAAAATTAATAACAGGTGTGGCTCTCCATAGAAAGAATATACAAAAAGGAGAAAAAATATACAAACAGGGTATACTTATGACTAACATGACTACAGCAAGAAGATAACATTTTACACAATGAAAAAAATTCTCTGTGTCATCTAGTTAAGTGAATTGCATAAAAAACATATAATTATATGTAAAGATCAAATTTATAGACGACAAAATATGATATGAAACATACATAATGGTACATTAGTCCGAGCACATGGAATTTGAAGATTTACAAAGTTTAGGAAAATGCAAAGAATAGCATTTACAGCATTTATCATATTAAGACACACATATATATAGTTTCACAGCAGCAAGCTGCAGAATTTGTGGAAGTACATGTAAATTGGGGACTGGTGACTTTTTGCCATCTTTTTTTTTTTAGCAATTTACCAATGTATTTACCTGCTTGACCTTGAATATGTTGAGGTGCGCAGCCCTTTTCTTCGTGTTCCTCCACGATATTTTATTTAATGTAGCAGAAAGATACTATGGATAAAAAAAAATATGAAAAAATAAAAGCAGGTATGGCATCTCGTAGAAAAAATATATAAACAGATGTATTTTTGATATAGAGCAAGTAGATAACATTCATACAATAATAAAATCCTCAAACTTTGTGATCTAGTACATATTATGATATGTATTATATTAAATTTAGAGACGACAAAACATGATATGAAATGGGTGTACATACTCGGAACACATGGAATTTAAGAGTAAACTTAAATGCAAAGGTTAGCATCTACAGCATTTAACATGCAAGTTATTGGGATAATGAACAAGTGATTTAACATAAAGTAAAATATATTAACAACTTATGCTGTAGATAGCAAGTTTTTTAAGTGGACAACAAATGCAAACTTCCAGTAAATGGTGGCAATCTCATACACAATAAGTTGTACAACAAATGATTAGTTTGTACCTCATACTGGGTAGCCAAATATCTGGTCAAGTCACTTTTAGGAAGAGAGCCTCAGCAAGTTCAATGTTGATCATTCCCATAGCTAAGTACTTCAAACTTTTCTGGCACAATTTCTGAAAGAAAAGATGTATCTTGCAGGGATTTTTATTCAAACTAGGAATAATTCTCATGAATGTAAAAATTTGAAAAGTTTATAGATGACCGACGAATACCAGACACAGAACAGAAAACTCGCTCGGGTCTTAAAATGGCTCAGGTGAGCTAAAATAAATCAATTCATGTGATTTTATTGATCTTATCAGAAAATGTAAGAAATCTTACCGTTGTGTTAATCTTCGTACTGCTTTTGTCATTTCTTGTGAGCATTTGGATTCCTGTAAATAATGCATAATTGTGCATCATAGACATGATAGAATGTGATAGCTATTTTTAATAATTCATGCTTACGTACGTATTTAACGTAAAAAAATTATGCATAGCTCAAAATCCATTGCTATTGTATTTTTAAGATAAGGAAAATAAGAATATAAACCTCGTATTGTCTACTTGGTATATAGCATTTCAAGTTGTTGCAATATTTTTTATACTCTTATGCATAAAGATACAAGTTAATAAAACATTGTTTGTTTATTTGTGATAATAGAAAATTTGAGCGGTATGGTTCTCACCATTTTCACAAGCTGTCTACATAGCCGGCGTTATGGGGAATCGTCTCAGGCACAGTCCACACTGCAACTATTTAAATAATCAAAATAAGTGCTCAATATATTCTTGAGTAGGCATTAAGAAATAAATAAATAATTTATTACATTGTACAACACTCTCTGTAAATGCTGAACAGAGGAACACTTTAGTGACAAAAATTCTGAAACCAATCCCAAAATCCATCTTTAAGTAAGATGGTTAGGCCTAAGTGTTAAATAATTATTACAAAATGTAAAAAGCGCTTGCCCAAACGTTTTTACTGCCAGGCATTTTATGTGTACAGCCCAGACTAAGGAACAGTAACATTATCAGTAGCAGAGGCAATTATTCATTCAAGGACACATGATAAAATTTTGTACATTGTTCCTACCGCTAAACAGGGTCGTAAATGTCTTCATCTTCTATTAAAACATAAATTCCATCCAAAGTTTATCATGCTTCTCCTTTTCGAGTAACTCTCTTTCGCCCCTTCCTCCCGTACAACATCATGATCAAAATTCAACATGGCTGCGTGGAACTCTCCAAAAAATTGAATTTCGGCGCGGTGTGTTGTTTTTAAATAAATTGCTTTTCGAGCCCGACTTCGATCCCGATGTAATTGTACTACAGTTGTAGTCGATAGAGAAAAAACTATGTTATATTCCACAGTTTTGAAAAATCTACATAAGGGTTAAATAAATAAAAATGAGAAATAAATAAATTAAAATGAATAGGGTGCCTAAATATTTTTTTTCAAAAATGTTACAACATAAGTTTACATTAGGTATAAAGAATTATTTATGACATATTCAAAATACCAAAAATGTACTTAAACTTTAAGTATAAGCATATTTACTTTTACATGTCGATATTCTTAAACGGGACGTATAATTATCTCAATTAAACTATATTATTCTCGACGTATTTTGCATTAAATATGATTATACTTATTTGAAAACTGTATTTAATTATATCACAATATATCTCATGTAAAATGTACCGTTATACATAAATTAAATTCAATACAAGAAATTTACTGGAGTAAACGAATTTATTAAATTATATTAAACTCGACTTTTCATGCAGTGGTTAATGAATAAAATCAAAGTGGTGTCAGAGTGCAACATAACCTATTGTTTCTGTGTCATGTATGAATATGAATAAGATGGAGGGCTCAGGAGGTTAAAAATGGTTAATTACATGAACGGTTGAAATGCATACTAATTGAATATACATGGAAGTATGCTATATTGGAATGTTGGGTTCGAACATTGTCAATTATGGATAAAGATATAAATAAAAATGGCAACAAATCCTACTTGTAGGGAAGTGTGATCCATATCCTCAGGGTTTTAAAATGGGAATAGGGGTCCGATGGGGCTGTTGCAACCCCTATTGAAATACGACCATTATTGAAATAATTATTTCAATAGTGGTTGAGAGTGCATTTCAATAACATAAATAGTATGCAACCATTATCGAAAAACGACCACTATTGAAATTAGTTCAATAGTTGATGAGAGTTCAATTCAATACCAAACATAGGTTACAACCACTATTGAAAAAATATTCACATTTGAAATAAAGTTTTCAATAATATTGAAATAAAACTTTCAAAGGTGATTTAGATAATTATTTTGATAGTTGCTGATTATTGATTAAACCACATGGCAAGACTTATTGAAATAACTTAACTATTGAAAAATACAAGGATTCATGGTTCTTTATATTCTCCAGCATTTTTAATTCATTTATTGTGTTTACTATTTAAATTACGACTACTTTTGAATGATTATTTAAAAAAAAAGTTGAAAATACGTTTCAAAACACCATACCACCACATTTGAATCACGCCTATCATTTTAATAAAACTAAATGAATACTAACTTACCCAGAAATTTTGCTTTTTAATGTCTTGACATGTACACATTGGATTTACTATCCGTATTTGTAGTGTAGGTAATCCCATGAATATGAGCGACAATTTAGTTCTAATCTAAATTATTTTTATTAAAAATATCCACATTTTCATCAGAAAGTTTGTACACAAAATTATCAGTCTTCTTCCTTCATTTCAGTGTAGTCTAGATATTCTAATTTCTACATCTACATGTTTTTACATGTATGTATGATTCTTTCCTTTCAATATAAATGACCAAAATGAACTTTATATAATAAATTATTTCAAAATTGCATATAATAATTTATTGCAATTGTCTGTTGGTTTTCGCCGATTCGGCCAGATTCAGCAGGAGCTTGCTTATATAACATTTGCATACATGTTTGAATTATAGGTCAGTCAGTATAATAAATACATGTAGTGTCTGTGTATTAATTTAGTTATCATATTTTAAACTCAATAAATTAGCATATTGTGTTAGAAAACAGATTATGTAATTCATTTTTATATTTGTTTTTATATTTGCGATACTTCTATAGAGCTTGCAATGTCGTTTTGGTATTGAAATCAATGTCAGCAACTATTTATTATTTTAATATCTATTGGAATCATTCTTTAAAGCACTATTGAAATCAATATTTCAATTACTTTTGAAATCAATATTTCAATCACGTTTGAAATCTCTATGTTAATCACTATTAAAATATTTCTTTCAAAAGTAAACATTAATTCAACAGTGGTTGCAACCTATGTTTGGTATTGAAATGCACTCTCAACCACTATTGAAATAAATATTTCAATAGTGGTTGTATTTCAATAGTGGGTGCATACTATATTTGTTATTAAAATGCCCATTCAACAACTATTGAAATAATTATTTCAATAGTGGTAGTATTTCAATAGTGGTTGCATACTATGTTTGTTACTGAAATGTACTCTCAACCACTATTGTAAAAATTATTTCAATAGTGGTCGTATTTCAATAGTGGTTGCATACTATGTTTGTTATTGAAATGGACTCTCAACCACTATTGAAATAATTATTTCAATAGTGGTCGTTATTTCAATAGTGGTTGCAACATGGGGCTCTCAGATTTAAATTATTTCGGTTTCTTATCTTGTACTATTACATGGATGGTTGTCAATCATTCAAATACTAAAAAAAACATCTTATGTGAAATTATTATTTTTGTTTATATAATTGGGGTTTTCGTTTAACTCATCTTGTCTTTCTCGCGACAAAGGCAGCATTTTCTTTCTAATACAATAAAGACAATGTTAGCTATTTGAAAAACGCGAGTTTATGTCTTGGAAAAACTTTGTGTTACTTTCATTTAAATTTGATGAATCTGATTCGTATCAAAACACTTTTACTCTCTTTAAGATGAAACCACGCCCTCCGGCGTAGCAACAGTCAACACTGCTACACGACGGATGATTTTCCAAAAAATATTGACTGTTCAGCTGCGCTCATGGTTCAGTGTACATATACTAGTATACATGTATCTATTTGAATAAAACATTCAGTATAATTTTATATTATACTTTCATGTAAATTGGTGGAATCTGATTCGTCGATAAACATTTGTGAAAAAAAAAACTATTACCCACTAAATAATGAAGCCACGCCCTCTAGCATAGTAACAGTCAATAATGCTTGACGATGGATGATATTCTAATAAAATTTTAATGTTGACTGCGCAGAAATTATGTGCGCATTAGGTTCAGTGTAAAATATACTTGTATAAAACATTCAGTATGATAAAATGAATATTGCATATAGTTGAGTATAACATTGAAGATATTCACCCCAAGAAAAACATTGTCAACATCAGCTACATGTACATGCAATATTTGTATAATAAATACGGCATGTTGTTGAAGGGTAATATTGAAAATGTTTACACCAAGCTTAAGAAAACTATTGTCAACCGAGGCGAGGCGCTGCCTCGATTGAATTGTTATCTTGGTGTATAAATTTTCAGTGTTACCCTCAACTACGGTGCAGTCAGTATTTGTATATTTATTCAATATTTCATAGTAGAAACACTTTAATATTAAGAAGGCAACAAAAAATAATTTAAATATTTGGATCTTTTATTCAAATTATTGGAAATCGTATACATCATGCTTTTTTTTTTTCGAAATTCAGATTGGTTTCATTTACCTCCCTCTAACTCTTAACATAATTTTCATTTCCTTTTTAAGTTCTTCGATACCATAACAATAGAGAAGAAAAGGGTTGGAGACGGAACCCAGTTTATATGCAATGGCTGCAAAGTTTTTGCACCTTGAGATTCGGTATCAGCAAAGTTTACCACTGAGACAGGCAGCGTAGAAATAACTAATGATGATATTATTAAACCGACCAGTTTCAGTGATTGGTGCATTCTTTTTCTTTTTCTATCCAGGATTCAATGTTGGACGACATTCGTTGAAGAATTAGACGATTCG